TCCCCCTCCACATTCATGTGCGTTCTCCAGATGGCTCCCGACAGCCCACTGCCTCCATAAACCCCCAGCCCCACCCCTGCTCCTCTGGAGGCCGCTTTTGGGATTCCGCAGGATGCAGCGTCATCACAGGACCCCAAATGTCTAAGGATGGCAGCTGCTTGGTCCTGTGCCCTCTGTAGCGTCAGCCGAGTTTCTGGACAGAGCCTGCAGACAGCCCTTGTCTAGAGGATGCCCTCCCTTTCTCACTGACATGGGCTGGTGGGCTGGTGGGGCGCTGGGGGATGCTCAGGCATCAGGGTCTCCTTGGGGGCTGAGCAGAGAGGAAAGGCATGTCGTGACGGGGACAGGCTCCACAACCGACATAGAAGGCCCTTCCTCTGGCTTCGGTGGGAGCGTGAAATGTGTGGATTGGTGGGCATTCCCTCTTACCTCAGTGAGTACAGAGGGCATTGGGCTGTGAGGAGAATCAGGGCACTTCGAAAGGATATTGGGCGTGGGGCCCCTTGTCTCTCTGAGGGATTTCTGTGTAGGAGCGTCTGGTCCACTGAGGTAGGAGGCCCCATGCAGCTGTAGCCTGAGAGGCTGGCCTCGGGGCCTTTGCATTTCAATGATGCCCACACTGCTGTCCCCTCCCCTCCCCACAGGGCTGGACCCTCTGTGAATAGGTGTGGATGTTGCTTTGGTTTTGAATGTGCTCCTACTAAGACACCACAACTGACACACACAAGCACATGAGGGCTGCAGGGGCCCCTGGCTGAGGTCTGCACCCAGGGCTGGGGGAATGGGGATCCAGGTGGGGTCCTCCAGGCGGGGTCCTCCTTGACCCTTCTGGGATGGTGACACAGACCTCATGGCACAGCAGTGGCCAATCTGGCTCCCAAGAGGGAGATGAGCACAGAATAAGGGGCAAGAGCTGAAGGTGGAGGCCCTGCCTTCCCTCCTGGCCAACACTGCTTCTCCAGGTTCTAAATTCCAATTCCCTCCCAGCCCTGTAGGTCCTGAGGCTGAGTCTCCCCCAGTGGGGCCCTGCTCCATCAGGACCCACAGGTGGCCTGACCCTCTGCTTAGAGTTCTGGAAAGGGAGGGCTATACCTCCCAACTCCCACAGGCCCCACCGGTCAGCCCCTGACCTTGCTGTCTGCCTCCATCACCTGTCCAGGCCCAGGCGGCAGCACCAAGGACTGGTCCAGATGTTATGTCCCCTCGTGGCCACTCTGCTGTGTCCCTCCCTGGTGAGGCCCATGTGGCAGGCTGGGGGGACTGAAACAAGGTGGGTGAAGGTTTACATGCTGTCTTGGAAAGGACAGAGGGAGGTCCACTGGGACGATAAATGAAATGTTTAAATTTGCATCATGGCCAAGCTTGTTTATTAGAGAAAAACAAAGCAGACTTGACATTTGCTGGGACGGTGTACAAGGTCCGAATCCAGGAGGCATTTGTAGGAGGTGAAGCAGATTCTGTGCAAATGGCCAGGTCCCTGTCTCCCCTCCAGGTCACGATGCTCCTCCAGCAGGTGCTGTGCCTCCTGTAGCTTGTGGGTTCCCCACAGAGATCAGGAGGTGTCCCAGATCACCCATTGCTCTGTGAGGACAGTCGACTCAGGTTGGTGTGGATCCCGGTGCAGGTCCAGCACTTGGGGCTGGAGACCCCGGGCCGGCACCACATGGCCTGGCTTCATAGCCCCCTCCTACCTCACCAGAATCAGCCCCCAGAGAGACCGTGGAGTCCTAGGGAAATCCCAGTAACCCAGAGCCAGCCTGGGCCCACAGGAGCTGCCCCTCTTTTCTGACTATAGATGTCATGGTATCCCGGTCACTGTGCACGGTGGAGGGAGGGGGGGCGTGACCCACTTCTGGGGCCTTGGCCAGCTGCCCTCGTCCTTGCCAATCTGCGGACGGACGGATGGTGAGGATGGTGAGGCTGCCTCCTCTCTTTGTCTCATTGGTCCTTCACTGGCTGTCCCTGGGCGTGGGTGTCCTAGGAGGCTCAGACAGAGGACGATGTGTTGGGTGGGTGGGAGGACAGGCTTTGACTGCTGGAATAGCTGGACGGATCAAGTTGGGAAAAGAAGTCCCCTACTCACAACTCAAGAGCCCCACCCCCACTGGCTTCTTGGCCAAACTCACCCTTCTGGCTGTCAGTAGGAGGGACACTGAGGGAATGTCAGCCGGGAGGCCAGTGGTCTGGGTCCTTCCCCAGCTCTCCCATGCTTTAAACAGCAAAGTACCTGTGGGATGCCCCGAGAAGACTTGGAGCATTTAAGGAAGCCCAGGGCTTCTTCTCCAGGAACACCCCAGAAATCTAATCAGAAATAGTCTGCTTTGATAACTCACAAATCTGTGTTTGCACCCTCCTGTTTTTATTACCTGTTCCTCCACTAGAGTGTAGGAGCCATAAGAGGGTCTTGAACCATGTTCAAGGATCCTCAATAAAAATTCTCATACTTTGGATTCTTTGAAAAATAGACTCAGAGACAGAGTTTAGGGAACACCCGGGAGGGGTAGAAGAAGAAATGATTGGGCAGAGGCAAAGTTGAACTTTGACCCAGACCCAAAACAGCCTCAGTCCACCACACGGGAGCTGAGGTGCCAGACCGTTTCTTCAGAGGTGTCTCAGTTGGAAGGATTTGGCCAAGCCTTTCTAAAGACACCTGTGTCTCATATCTGCCTCAACCAGCCTACAGAGCCACCTGCCATGTCACAAAACTCACCCCCTCTGCCATTTCTTCACACTGTGAGGGTGTCTTCAGGGTGGTGGTAACTGTGTGTGTGTGTGTGTGTGTGTGTGTGTGTGTTTTGGGGCTGAGAGTGCATGTACAAGGGTGGGACTTGTGTGAAGCCAGGGAATATGGAGGGTTGTGCTTGTGTGTTGGTGGAACAGCACATTGGGGGTGTGTAGCTGCGGTGTTACATGGGGAAGATGCAGCCTTTGAACTGATGAAGGAGGCACAAGCCACCCACAGGGACCAGCAGGCGACTTCCTCAGCATCTGAACTCCCACTTAGAGGATTTGCAAACCCTAGAGTCCCTTTGATTGAAGGTGCCATTTCAGTACACCCACACAAAGGTGTGAAGTCACAGGTTTACTGCTTATGAAGCCCAGAAGTGGGGAAGGGCAGTCCTCTGCCTCAGGTCACTGGTGAGCAGTAGGCAGTTGGGGTAGCAGGCACTTCAGTACTTACACAGTGGCCAGAGTAGTGGCCACTAACTTCACAGCCTCGACTCTTTAAGTGCCTACCTTCAAGGTGCCCTGAGAACAAAGCTGGAACTTGGGCCAGCAGCCTAAGCTCAGGTCTGATCTAATGTCCAGACTCGGTGTGAGCAGGCTGCCTGCCGTATATGTCTGGGCTCCCCCTCAGGATGGTTGTTTGCTCCCGCAAAGGGGAAGCTCCGCATACAAATGTGTGCCCATGAGGTATGGGCTGTCTGTGCTGGGGTGGTGGGCAGCTCCTGGAAGGCTCAAGGTGTTTGTAGTAAGTTTCCATGGGCCTGTTTTGTGTACATAGTACAGGTTGAGTTGTGGCATGTGTGAATTCAGAGTGTTTAGTAACCTAATGTATGCATTTGAGGATCGGGGTAGTTCACATATGCCTGTGTCCATGTGGACAGCAGGGCTGGGGGTATATTTCTTTGTACAGGTATATTTATTTCTGTATCTATGTAGGTGGTCTGGGAGTGTGTTTGAGGGATTGTGTGTATTTTGAGAGGTTTGAGGGGTTGACCCTATATACTCAGGTCCAAGGGGATTTAGTGAGTAGTGAGTACTTACTCTCTCAGGATTATCAGGGGCCTTGTAGGAGTGGGGGCTAGAGGGGTTGTGTGTGTGTGTGTGTGTTTTGCGTGTGGAAGTAGGCTGGGAGAAGCAATACAGATCAGGACGTCATGGGTTATGCTACCAAGGGATGTGCAGGATTCAGGAGTGCATTGGGGTGTGAGATAGTTTGGGGTCACTATCTTAGGGCCTGTGTGGGTGTGACCTGGGAAAAGGTGAGGGGCATGAGTGCCCTCATCATGGTGTCTGATGGTTTGGGGTCACACTCAGGATGTCTAGGTCCTGTTTGTGTGTGAATTGGTGTGTGGGGCTGAGCCTGCATTTTGAGGCTGTTGTAAGTGTGCATCTGAGAAGAGGTAGGGTTGTGCATTTTTGTGCTCTGTGTTCAGGCTGTAGGGGCTGTACGTGTGCTCATCGTCTTAGTGAGAATTTAGGGAGCGTAGTTTTGGTGTGGGAGAATTTGGGGAGAGTGGGGGCATCAGCGTTTGGGTGTTGCGAGTTGCATGTATGTAACTGTGGGATGTGGACAGGTGCTGTTTATAGATTTTCAAGGTATATGGGTCTGTCTGTACTGGGTGTCAGGTCATGTGTGTTTGGAGGAGTGTATGAGAAGTCCTCAGACATGTGCACTGACACAACCTCACAGGGACCAACTGTGATCTTGACCAAGTCACTTAAACAGACCCAAGTTCCTTTACTTAACCCATAAATCGAAGGGAGCAAACTGGGTGACTGCAATTCATAGCTCTAAAAATCATGATTCAATTATAACCGTGACAGTACATGACATGTAGTAGACGCCCAAAATTACTTGTTAAACCAATAACGTCTTAAAAATGTTATCTCTGACAGGAAATCCGAAGCTACCTATTACTAGCCTTCAGTTTTTATTTATAAAATGAAGGGGTTTCCTCTTCTTGCTATAAATATCTTGCGGATTTTGGTACGCAATCTTAACCTTTCACTGGCTGCTGGAATCCAAGCGCTTGTCTGTGGAACCAGAAGTGACGCGACCTCCAGAGTTTTGGCGCCTTTCCAACAGTCGGATGCTCGGTCGCAGAAGCGCCACTGCCCGCCTACACCTGTGCAAAGGCCGCCCAGCGACCACACCCAAGCCGGAAATGGGGACGCCCCTGAGGTTGATGGGAAAGCGCGGCAGGGCGGCTCGCTCCCAGGCCCGCCCCCTCCGGTGACGTCTCCGCCCGCCCCTTGACCTCGCGGCCCCACCCCCTTCTCTGCCTGCTGGGACCAGAGGCTGTCGTGTCTCCGGAGGCGATGGAGGTTTCGAAGCCGTTGGCTGCACCTCAGGGGGAAGAAGCGTCCTGCTCTTCCTGGGGGGCCGGCGGGTGAGACATCTGGTTTGGGCTCGAGGAAGCGACGGGTGGTGGGCGGCCCCGGCCCCGGCTTTCTGGTTCTCCCCTTCACGCGTGCAGGGAGCGTTTGAGAGGCCGCGGGACCGGTCCGAGTTGGCGGTTGAGGCGCAGGGAGCGCACGCGGTGGGTGTGGCGGCGTAGGCTCGGACCGGTGCGGTCCCCGGCTTCGCTGAGGAGAAATCCCGCGTCTCACCCCTTGAAGCGCTTTTCCCGGTCCGCTGGGGTCGCCATCCTTCCTACCAGTCACCAGACGGGTTGGGGCGGGGCCGGGGGCGGTGGGGGCGGTGGGCTCCGTCCCGAGAGGTCTGGCCCGGGCTTGGTGCGAGCTTCCCCAGCCCAGGTGCCGACAGCTTCTCTTCTCCTTTCGTTAAAATGAAATCTAAGCGCACCACTGTGCGTGATCCTCCACGGAGATCCTCCTTTGAAAACTGTTCCCAGAGGGAACTTGTTAATGATGAATCAGTGGCAGTCGAGACACCCTCAGGCCTCTGTTGACTACAGTTAAACAACAAAAAAAAATCCACAAGTTATTCTTTCTTATTTCCCAGTCGATATTGAGGTTCTTCACGTCTTTTAAACTCCTGCAATATGAGGGGGGAATATTTGTGTATTTCCTGGTTCAGTCATCTAATTAGTAGAGTGGGTAGTACATCCTGCCCACTGCCTGAATACAATATGCCAGAGATACATGTGATGGACATATGATTTTGAGCCAATGTGGGAATGCCCACAAACCTGTAGCATTTTTGCCAGTTTCAGACTGAAGGGATGCTTTTGGTACCACGGTATTGCCTGCCGTTGCCAACACTGCCAGATTTACTTGGGGGTCGTTATGTAATAGAAACAAAACTTCTCTTTTTTAAAAACATTTTTGATTGTCGTATAGACCTTATTTTAAAAATGATTTTCAAAATATTTCAGTAAGGCAGAACTTTCTGAAAGGTGCCAATTGTATTAAGTGACAACTGGTTGGAATGTAGCTTTTCTCATTTCTGCTTAAGAGCTTTAGCTGCTAAATTACTGCCCTCCATGTAAGGAGGACTTGCTAGGGAAAATGTATGAGGGATAAGAAAACTGTAAGAGAAAATTTTATTTTCATATTTTGTTACAGTGCCAAAATAGTATATATTGTATATGTGTGTGTGTATTACACTGATGATCTTTTAAACACAACTATCTTCTGGTTTTCTTTCACTTGTTGCCGTAGAATTATTTCTTATAGTCACCCAGTCAGCTAGAAACTGCTATCATATAGTGACAATGTTTGGTGAGATAAATGGTACTATTTTGCTTAACTATATTTACAAATCCTTTTTCTTAGATATTGATACCAGCCCTAGAAATTTGGATTCCCAAACTGAATTTTGTGATACCATGTTATTTGTGGAATCTTATCATTGATAACTAGAGCTTCCTACAACTTGAAATGCATTACACTTTTGCCAAGATTTTATTGATCTTACCTATCACCAGGGCTCAGGTGCAAATGCCCCAGGTTGATTCTCCTTATCTGAGAATCACCTGTGTTTCCCAGTGTTTATCCTATTATTTTTCTTTGCTATGCTGTGAAAAAATTGGGATGAGCTGCAGTAAATGATATGTCACTGTATCTTGTCACACTAGTATGTTTTAACTTTTCAAAAAGATTTTAAAAATTCATTCAACATTTTTTGAGTGCTTTCATTATACTTACAGTGACAATAGGCATTATACACGGTAGTCAAAAGGTAGATTGCTTAGGGTCAGATTCTGCCATTTACCTGGGCTATGAGTTTGGGCAGGTTATTTTAAGTTACTTCTCTCAACCTCAGTTTTTTTTTCTTCTGTTCATTAGAGATGGTGGTAATGCCTGTCTCATGAAGTTGTAAAAGTTAACTGAGTTAGTATATCTAAAGCACTTAAAACTATGTGGTGCAGGGTTTGCTCTTACTATTATTATTAAATGCTAGGTACAGTTTTAGGTATGTGGAATATAGTAGTGAATCCTTAATGAATCATACGTTCTGTAGGGGAGGGCCAACAATAAACGGTTAATGATTAATGATTTGAAGAAAATACAGCAGGTCAACAAGTTAGGAAGTGATCTCAGAAGAGGAGGAGCCATTTCACTGATAGGGTTATTAGGAATGGTCTGTGTAAAAATATTTGTAAGGCAATATTTTGATAGAAGTTTAAATGATAGGAGTCAGCTTTTCAGAGAGCTGAAGGAAGAACATTCCAAGCAGAAGGAAAGTATAAAAGCTCTAAAGTAATAATAAGCTTGCTTTTTGAGGAACAGCAAGATAGGCAAGTGTGGCTGAAGGTAAGCTAGATGGTGGGTTTGGAGAAGTAATTGGGAGACAGAGCACATAGGCCCTATTAAGCACCTTAAGGTGCTTGTATTTTATTCTAAGAGTAAAGGAAATTCACTGAAGATTAATTCTAAGTCAGGGAGTAATGTCTGACAACATTCTAAAAGATTTAGGCTGTTACCTAGAGAATAAACTGAAGGGAAAGGACAATAGTAGAAATAGAGACAGGTAAGGAGGCCATTGAAGTAGTTAAGATGAAAAATGATGGTTTGTTCTGAGATTATACTGATTGAAATAGAAGTGATCAGATTCGAGATCTCTCTTGAAAGTAGAGCTAACAGGACTCACAGACAAAGAAAATAACAAAAAGATCCCTAGATTTTTGGCCTGAGCAAGTGAGAAAATAGTGGTACTAAAAACTTGAGTTAGGAAAGACTGGGGAAGAAGAGATTAAGCAGGGTAATTGAATTCTGTTTGGGGCCTCTTATGTTTGTGAGACTAGTTAGACATCAAAATAGGGATACTGTTCTGGCAGATGTGTAAAATCTGGAGGCCAGAGGAGAGATCAAACATGGTGAAATAGGTTTAGATATCATCAGTATATGGTAAGTTCAAAGGACTGAATGAGATTATCTTTGGAGCTTGTATATGTTAGAGGTTTATGGGCACTCCAACAAAATTGCTAAAATATAGATCTGTCAGAATATACATAGCAATGATAGAACCACACCTGAGAGTGAAACAACCAATACAAAGTAGGCAATCAGTGAATTTAATTTTGACTAATTTTTAAAATCAAAGTAAAATGGTGGGTAATAAAAAATATATATGGTTTATAAAACGTCCTTTAGTAACTAGTGATTCTGATCCCATGTATATTTGAATGTTTAACAACCATATTTGCCCTTATAAGTTGTGTTTTATTTTTCAGTACAAATACAAATTTGCCCATCATGTCAACAGAATCTGTAGAGATAGATGATGGATTATACAGGTAAGAGGCTTTTGGAAACTGAAATTTATTTCCAAGTGTAACTTTTGACATCTTATATGTTGGTATTTGTAATGTCAATACTTTAAATATTGTTTCTTTCCCCCTAAATACTATAATTAAAATTTGGTTAAAATTTACTAGGTATGCAGGTTTTTCCCCAGTAAGAATAACTGAGCTTTAGGTTATAATTACTTCTAAACAATTGAACCTTCCTACAAAACTGAAACTCTGTAAAATCTGCAAATCTTGAATATTAACTCATAAGTTTCTATTATTTGTAATTACATTTAAGAAATATTTTTAGTGCAATTTCAGTACCTATTTGAACAAAGCACCTTTCTGAATATACTTCAGTTTTTTCTTACTAATGCTTAATCTTAAGTCACCTCATAGTAATTGACCAGCTAAATTTGAAAGTTTTCTCAGAATCTAAAGGTTTTTTGTGTTTTGATTTTTGGGGGAACCACTTCTAATGGCATTCTGAACCATGTCTCTCTTTATTTGCATTTTGATGCCTATAAATTGTTGGGTGAGTTAGATTCAGTTCTGTAGACCTGGCTATTTTTTTTTTCTTTTCCTCAAAAGATGTTACTGAGCCTGCTGGTACCAAGATTTATCTGAAGAAATGAATGAGTCCCAATTTAGAACTCCAGCTTTGGTTTTCTAACTCTGTTTTTACCACAATCCTCTCCTTTGTAGGTAGTCAGGGCTGATTCAAATGATAATAAAATGAGACTTCGCTATCTCTTTTTCTGTGTTTCTTGACATCACTGTATGAAGAATGGATGAATATCAAACAGAACCAGGGAATTCTTAGGTCTCTGGATATGATACAGTCATAATAGTATCAAAAATTTCAATTTATTCTAGTGGAGTGCTAGAGGAAGCTCCTCTGGCTTTTGGAATAGTCTTTTTGGATTTGCTTCTGAATCTTCCTTAGACTTTTTCTTAAGCTGCTCCTGCTCTGCCTGTACCGTAAATGCCAGTTCCAATATCAGGATTTTTCTCTTAGTTCATACTCTAGTTCACATCGTAAATTTCCATGATTTAAGCTGTAATTGTATGCTAATGATACTTAAGTCTCTTTCTTCAGCTTTGTCCATTCAAGCTCAAGATCTTCATTTTTAAGTACGTATAGGTACTTTAAATATAGACCAGGTATATGTTCAGCAAATAGTTCTTTCTTAGAGAAACATTTTGGTATAGGAAATCAATGTGATCTCTGGAGATAGAAAAGAACATTCACGTCCCAATCCTGACATTTATGTAAGAACTGAAATTAATTATTTAATCTTTCTGCTCACATTTCTCATGTATAAAGATAAAAGAATAATACCTCTTATTTCTTAGTATCTCAGTCTTAAAGATTTTTGATAAAACTTAATATTAAACAGTTTCTGGAACAAAGTAGCACTCAGTACTATTGTCCCTTTTTTCCTTTTCCCAAGCTTAATTAAATACTACCACAACCACTCAATAACCTAAGAGAAATTTTGGTATCATTTTAGAATTTTCCCTAAGAAAAATTTGTCATCCTCAAAATTCAGGTAATTTTTTAAGCCTTTCAGTTCCTTCTGAACAACCCTTAATTCTAACACTTTCATTCTCTCTCTCTGGGTTTGGTATCTTGGCATCTCTCAATTGAGCTATTATTCTTTCGTGTGATCTCTTTAGAGCTACTCTTGTCTCTAATCCATCTTCCATGCTTTACTCAAAGGGATATTCTTGAAATTTACTTCGGAGTCCATGATTTCTCAGTTTTAAAATCCTTAAATGGTTCCCTGTCATCTACACTGGAGAGGCTAACTATGTAATAGGCATTTATGTCCCCTCTTGGATACAGCATAACATAGTGGCTGAAAGTATACACTTTGGTCTTAGATCTGAATTTCACTCATCATCCACCATTTATAAGTGTTTGATCTTAACCAAATTAAGTTAACCAAATTAAGTCTTAACCTCTTAAGTCTAGTCTTTTCTTTCATCCATTCATTTTTTCATACATTCATTCATTCAACAAATACTTAATGATAAAATATAAACACAATAAAATTTAATTCTAAAGAATAGTGCCTAAGAACTCAATAATTTCTAATTATTATGTACCATGAGCTATTGCTGTAACTTTTTAATCTCCATGTCACTTCTCACCACTTCACCCTCCAACATTCTATTCTTAGCCTTGTTAAACTTTATATATTGTCTGGTACTTGATTTTACCCTACTTATAAGCTAAAAGCTAGCCTGTTGTTTAGTGGTTGCTGATAGAAGTCATGAAACTTCTGGGTCAGAAACAGAATTTTATTATTTATGGTACAGCAGTTAGCATGGCCGTGAGCATGGTGTTGGTTCCCCTTGCTCCCAAATCCCCAAGGGGTTGACACTTAGGGCCCGAATTGATGCCTTGTACACGCAGCTGAAACCCTGAATTTGAGGGACCCAGCATTTTATGATAAGCAGTGAGCAAGCCTGCCTTTTGTCTTGTAGAGAGACTTGCCTTGTCTCATCCCTCAAGGTCACATGCTACAAACACAACCCTGAGAAAAGGCCCCCAAAAAATAGAACTTTGCCCACTAGGCATATCTAGACAGACATTTCAGAGTATGAAAACTTACAAAAGTATCCCCCAACATATATATTTTTTCACAGTTTTATTGAGGTATAATTAAAGTATTGTAAAATGTACATAAAGTGTGCAATTTGATGTTTTGGCATGTATATATACTCATGAAGCCATCACAATTTAGATAATGAACATAGCCATCATACCCTAACACTTCCCTCGTGTCCCTTCGTAATCCCTTCCTTTCTTCTCTATCACTTCCCTTTATTGTCACTGTAGAACACACTTTTTTGTCACTACAATCGTTTTCGTTTCCTAGAAGTGATCATATATAGTATGTACACCTTTGAGGGGTCTGGTTTCTCTCACTCAGCATGACTGAGATTCATCTGTGTTGTGATATCAGTATTTGTTTCTTATTGCTGAGTTGTATTCTACTGTATGGTTATACTACAATTTTTTTAGCCATTTATTAACTGTTGATAGACATTTGGGTTGTTTCCAGGTTTGGGCTACCAGAAATATGTCTGCCATGAGGATTTATAAGCAAATTTTAGGGTAGATGTATGCTTTCACTTGCTCTTGGATAAATACCCAAGAAATGAATGGCTGGGTGATATGGTGGGTGTATTTTTAGTTTTTTAAGGAATGCCAAAATGTTTTCCAAAGTGGTTATACCATTTTATATTCCCTCCAGTAGTGTATATAGGTTAAAGTTGCCCCCCACTTTCCCTCAACGCCTGATATGGTCAATATTTTTAATTTTAAACATTCTAATGTAGTATTACATGTTAATCTAATATTAATTACATGTTAATGTAGTAGTAGATGTAGTAGTATTACATTATTGTTTTAATTGCATTTTCCCAGTGACTAATGATCTTGAGGATCTTTTTATGAGCCTATTTGCCATCTCTCTACTTGGGTGAAATATATTAGTCTTTTGCCTCCCTTTTTTCATTAGGTTTGTCTTACTGAGTTCTTTATACACTCTGTGTACATGACCTTTGTTGTATATATGGTTGCATTTATTTTCTCCTATTTTGTGGCTTGTCTTTTTATAACAATGTATTTTGCAGAGCAGTTTTTAATTCTGATAAGGAACAGTTTTTTAATATGTAATTCATGATGTTTGCAAAACTCAAGGACACTAAGATTTTCTCTGATGTTGTTTTCTTGAAGTTTCATAATATTAACTTAAATTTAGGTAATGATCCATTTCAAGTTAATTTTTGTATATGGTGTGAGGTGAGCGTTAAGATTCTTTTTTTCCCCCCACATAGCTTTCCAGTGTTTTAGGACTATTTGTTGAAGATTATCCATCTCCATTGAATCCCACGGGTATCTTTGGCAGGTCAATAGACTAAATATCTGTGGCTTTATTTCTGGAAATCTTCTGTTACCATGATTTCTTTGTCTCTTTTTACCCCAATACCATATGGTCATGATTCCTATAGCTTTATTATAAATCTTGGAATCTGGGAGTGTAATTCCTTCAACTTTTACCTTTTGCATAAGTTCTTTTGGCTTCTCTGTGTCCTTTGAATTTCCATGTACATTTTAGAATCAGCTTGTCAATTCTTTAAAAATAAATTCCTCCTGGAATTTTGTTTGACATTGTTATTTATTTCCTCTTTTCCAGTCTGAATGCCTTTTGTTTCTTTGCCTTACCCTATCAATGTAGTTCAGTTTTGGGAATATTAACATTTTAACAATATTGAATTTTCGTATGTCCATTTATTTCTTTTACTCTATCCTAGTGGTGTTATGTAATTACCAGTACAAAGATCTTGCACAACTTTGTTCAACTTTATCCCTAAATAATTAACTTTTTAATACCATTGTAAGTGGTAATTTTAAAATTTCAGTTTCTAATCATTTATTACTCTTAAATCAGAGCACAATTGATTTTTTCACATTGACCTCTTATTCTGCAATCTTGCTAACCTCAATTACTCTAGTAAATTTTTTCATAAATTCCGTCAGATTTTCTACACAGTCATGATGTTTGAAAATAAGTTTTATTTCCTCTTTTCCAGTCTGAATGCCTTTTGTTTCTTTGCCTTACCCTATCAATGTTTTTGTTTCTGTGTTTCTTTTCCAGTCAATGTTTTTTGTTTCTATGTCTTGTTTTATGGATGCCACTGGTTGGAACTTCCAATACAATGTTGAATGGGAGTGGTGAAGGTGAACACCCTCACTTTTTTCCCTGATTATTGACAGAATACGATGTTAGCTGTAGATTTTTCATAGATAGCCTGTATTAGGTTGAGGAGGTTCCCTTTTTTTATCAGTTTGCTTACATTTATGTTTGTTTTTTAAAATCGTAAATGAATGTTGGATTTGTCAAACATGTTTTCTGTATTAGTTGATCTGATCATATAGTTTTTTCAAGTAATTGAAATACAGTGATGGCAGATTTGTCTTTATTCACTTC